AATTCTGTAGTTCAATTTTTTTTTTTAAAAAAAGGTAATGTTCCCCTTCTACACCCATGAAAGCCTTCTTCTGCAAGTTACCTTGATCCTCCTGAGCCTGCTGATGACTGGGGTGCCTCTGGAGGGAAACAGAGAGGCCATGGGCTACAGCTTGGAACAGCAATAGAAGACATAGAGAACTCCACATGACGGCCCTTGGAAAGACAGTATGAGATGGTTGGTTACTTAAGGTCTGCCCTGGACTAAAAAGGGTGACAATATGTTGTTGTTGTTTAGTCATTAAGTCATGTCCGACTCTTTATGACCCCATGGACTAGAGCACACCAGGCCCTCCTGTCTTCCCCTGCCTCCCGGAGTTGGGTCAGATTCATGTTGGTCGCTTCGATGACACTGTCCATTATGTACCATGGGATAAACTAGTGAACTCTATGAAAGCAAAACAAAACTTATTCAGAGATCTAGCCAATTAAGAGTTACTCCCACAGAAAACAATAAAAGCAATCTAATCTAAAGCTATACTTATAAAAGTAACATATTTCCAGTGCACAGACTTCACTTTTTCTGATGTAAAAACCTAAACCCCAATTTAACAGATAATTGTAATCTTTTCACGTTTCAATCTTTTAGTTTTATTTTAAACCATATATTGGTTAATTCACCTTTTAATATTTAATTTATTGTGTTTTTAATTGTGTGAATTTTAATGCTGTGAGCCGCTTTGGGTCCCTTTGTTAGGAGAAATGTGGCATAAAACTACTACCACTACCACTATTACTACTAAAACATTTGCTCATCTGCCAGCATTTACTTGCAGCAGAGACAGGACGCAATCTATATCGTTTTGCCTAATTTAGAAATCTCCTATAAGTGATCTATTCAGACATCTAATAAGAAAATCATGCCCCTCCACAGTAGATCATGGGATAGAAAGAGTAATTAAGGAAGGTAATGTTAGAAAGAAAAAGAGCAGGCCATGCCCATTTGTAAAAATCTGTCCCTGCCCACTGCTGGCTCCAGTCTCACCTATCACTAGCAGGTATTTTCCCCCACCCCAGTTATTACACTTCTAAAATAAAATAATAATAATTCTTTCCAGAGGTTGGAATGTTATTTTTTTTAAAAATACAACTCCCAGAATCTGGCTTTTTCTGAGCTTTGTCTACCCCTGCCTTGCAGAGTTCAGCCTTGCTTGTGCAGCAGGTTGTGTGGTCTACCAGATGTTGGACTGGAACCTCCATAATCTCTCTGCACTGGCGTAGCATAAATGCTATGAGTTGCATCTGGGAAACCACAGGTTCCCTAGCTGTATTGTCCAAATACAATACATTACATTTGTCCATTCCATTCATTTTATTATTATTATTTTAAAATATGTATGTACATTTTGGTAGGACACGCAACAATGAGCTCAATTTAAAGGAAGTCAGATTTCGGTTGAATATCAGGAAATTTTTTTGTAATTGTTAGAGCAGTATGACAGTGGAACCAGTTACCTCGGGAGTTGGTGAGTGCTCCAACACAGGAGACATTCAAGAAAAACGTAGATAATCACCTTTGATTGTATTCCTGCGTTGAGCAGGGGTTTGGACCTGATGGCCTTGTAGGCCCCTTTCAACTTCACTTTTCTATGATTTTCAAGTAGGAATTCCAGTATCTAATATGAAGAGGAAACAGCTGTTATGTACAAAGGAGGTAGGAATTTCATCAGAGTCCAAGACAAGGATACAGTAGCCAACGTCCTCTTTTATTCAAGAGAGGACTTCATTTGAAGGGCTAAGAAAGGATGGCCTGCCTTTTGAATCTGTTCTTGCTTTGAGGATCTTTCCAGTTTAGGTCTGATTGAACAATAAAGAAGCATGAGGAGGGACGTCAGGGAAGCAGACATACATGCTTTTGTACTTGATTCAGATGCATTGGAATTCTGATTAAATTATAAAATATTTCTAATAATCTAAACTTGTATGTGATAATTTATATGTATAGAGGCAAAGTTATATCTAAGCCATCAATATTCCTTCCCTATTAAAACTCAGTTGGGAATTGTGCACCCTACAGGCCCAAATGGGCATATAACAAAACTATAATCCTATTTCACCTTCCTGTCTGTCTGTCCATAAAGACAAATCCTGTTCTTATCTGAACAAAGCCACACATTCTTCTTCAGTTGTTTCCAGAGCTCTTGAAATTATATATGTAGACTGTTTTTTTTTCTTAATTTAACCAGAAAGTTAATCATTTTCAGCCTAATGCTCACAATCTGGGTGATGTATCCCAGGATCCTTTGTAACACCATGCATTATATTGTAAAATAATTATCAAATTCCACATTGTTTTACTGCAGGAAAAAAGATCAAATAAGAGATGGACTTTCTAAAGGAACCACAGGCTTGAATTTACAAGAGATGAGCAGGGCAATTGAGGACATGACATTTTGAAGATGGCTCATTCATAGTACAGTATCACTATAAGTAGGAGGTGATTTGACTGCACATAGCAACAGCAAAGGAAGAGAAGGGAAATGTGGAGAAGGCTATAAAAGAAGGGGGAAAGGGTCACAGAATGAGAATGGAATAGACAAGGAGGAAGTTTGAAAGGGACAGTAGAAGAACAGGTGGCTGATACTAATCTAGTTGAAGTAAGAGTGTTGGAGGAAATTAACCACTTTGAGGAATGGGAGGAGGTAGTAAAAGGAGATCCTTGGAGTGGGGAACTGGTATTGTTTAGAATCCTCAAAATGGAAGCAGAAAGGATACAATCAACTCAGACCCCTCTTAAATCCTCTTAGTGGTGGTGGGGGGATGAGAGAGATGGCACTGAGCCCAGGAGGTTATTCCCTGAGAGAAGAATGAAGGAATAGTAGTACCCTAGCCCAAGATACAGGAGTGGGACTGCCAAACCTCCCATTCCCCAGGAAGTTCAACAGGGAAGAGATGGAAGTTGACTGCCTGCATTCAGTGGAGTTGTATAAGCCACCCCTATTGCGGCGCAGCCTGCCTGGTGTACGTGAAGCCACTGTTGTATTCCAAGGAAAATTGGGGGACTTAATGTTGACTTTTGCTAAGGTTAAGAAGACATCCTGGGTCAGACCAACCAGACAGTTACCGAGAGGAGAGTATGTTGATTTACATTTGTTGTTGCAAGTTGATAGTATTAAAAGTAGAGGTTTAATAAAACTTGTCCTGGAGGTAAATATGGGTGAAGGAAACCTGACAGGCATGGTTGTTGCAAGAGGGGAATCACATGAAGGCCTTTAAGCAGTAAGTTATCCCAGGAATGCTGGTCTTTAGCTTAGAGGTTTTTAATGTTTTCCAACTGCTTTTATATTTTATTGTTTTAATCTTAATGTATGTTTAATGATTTTTTTGGGGGGGGGAGATATTTTTATAGTGTCTTAAAGTTTCTTAAATTCAGAATGAATTTGACACAACTCCAGGAGGCAGTGGAAGATAGGAGGGCCTGGTGTGTTCTGGTTCACGGACCCATGGGGTCACAAAGAGTTGGACATGACTAAATGACAACAAAAGTTTCTTATTTTACCTGTTGGGAGCTGCCTTGGGTCCCAGCAGTGGTCCCCAACTTTGGGCCTCCAGATGTTTTTGGACTTTAGCTCCCAGAAATCCTGGCCACCAGAAGTGGTGGTGAAGGCTTGGGAGTTGTATTCCAGGAACATCTGGAGGCCCAAGTTTGGGGACCACTATAGGAAGGAAGGAAGATCCATAGAATAATACTAATATTATTTACATTTTTTTAAAACCAGAGATAGACATTTATTGCTCTCCAAGTGTTGCTGGACTATTCCTACCATTCCCCACCACTAGCCATGGTGGCTTGGGCTAATGGCCTTAACCAGCCAGCAATATCTGGAAAGGCGCTAGTTGTCCATCCCTTAGATGTATACATGGCCTCTTCAAGCAGTCAACATTCTTTATGTGCTCTGTTTTGAAATCCATACAACAACCTTATAAGGTAGGTAAGAGTTATTATCCTCCTGTGCCTAAGGTGATCAACGTCAACTTAATATATATATTAATTCTATCACCTACATGTGACCAGGAACATAAGTCTTTTAGGCCAGGGAAGGACCCTGGGGCATGTTTTGTTATGGAGCCATGAATAGGCACTAGTGATCTGGGTCATGGTTTTGAGAACAGTAGTTTCATATCTATTCAATGCCTAGTTATTTTAATCATTGTCAGAGGGAGAACCTAGGATGAAACAGGTGTATTAGGCTGGTCAAAATTGTACTAAGAGTTATCTCTCTACTGCCAAGTACAATCCTATACCTGTCTCTTCCTTTTGACTTCAATGAGTATTATTCACAAATAGGTGGATATAGGATTATAGGGCATTCATGGCAGAGGCAAAATTTCCTAACCGGTAATAGCTCAGTATTTGAGATACTACGTTATTATACCTACTCCAAATGAGGTAAACTCCCTAGTTTCTACTCCCATGAGTTATACATTAACCACTCCAGACTCTACCTTAACCGCTCCAGCCTTTACCAGGTGTTTTCAATATCTTAGGTATTGCCCCATGAATGTGTATCTTGCTTGCAAGGTAAAAAAAATGGAGCTGAAAGACTATTGAAAACAATGGGATTTACTTCTGATGACATGTGTAGAAGACTTTATTGCCAGAATATAATAAAGGGATTCAATGCTTCATCTGTGAGAGTGTTCTGAAGTTCCTGTTTTTTTTTCAGTTCTAGATTACTGTGAGGCTTCACACAGTTATTACAAGCTGATGTTGAAGTTAACTGCACCAAACATTTAACTTCCAGCTCTTAAGCAAAAGGTAACTAGGCTGTCATAGGAATAGAACTAGAGGAGAATATTTTAAATATTATCTTCTTTTGTAAAAGTCCACTTGTTAGTCCCAAAAAGAGTAGGCACTGTACAAGAATTAATCTTACAGAACAGTTGATTTCCCAGGATCCTATTGATTCAATGTGTCTTTTCTAGTTTGGATTAACTATTGGGTCCAGGCAATATAATTAATCAAAATAATCCCCTTAGTACTGTAAAGGCACACAAGAAAAACAGAGAGAAAAAGACACTCTCTGGAAAGCAAAGTGTTAAAAAGAAAAGCCAGTTGCCTCTGCCTGCTGCCAACTCACCTGTGCGGAAATCGTGGGTGGAAAGCAGGTACGCTGAACTGGACGGAAGCACCAAGTTGTTCCCCCCAAAAATCCTGTTTGCCCACTCTAGATAAGACAAGTGGGAACAGTGGGAAGGTCACCCAACTGTCCAGTAGATGAAGGGTAAATAGATAAAAAGCTTCATTCCATGGCCATCTAGTTGGACAGGGAGAGGAAACCAACTGAAAATGAATGTTTCCTGAATGGAAGCAGGAACTGCCCAAGCTCCAGGTGAGAGTGGGTGGGTCTGAGGAAAGGTCACATGGAGAAGGAGATGCAGGTAAAGCCAGAGGAGGGTAATTTGGAGGAGGAGTTTGAGGCTGAGCCGCCAGAATTCCTGTGAGTGGGCAGGTAACCTTTGTTCTCTAAATGTCTAGCCACCTCCACAGAAAGCACGCTAGGGTCACAGGACACAGCCCGCAGTTTCAGAGATCACTGGTTCTCATTATGCATGTTTATCATTTTGCACACTGCACAGGTCTCCTTGGTGCTCTAGAAGCATGTTCCAGGACTCAGGTCTGAAAAAAACAGACTGGCTTAAAGAAGCTCTACTTCTTCCTCATTTTCTCTTCCCCTTTGTTTGGTGTTTTGGTGTTAGTTTTGGAAGCTTAGACACAGCTCAGACAGAGTTTTAAACATATTAAACATGGTCAGGTTGATTCTGACTTATGGCAATCGTTCCTAGTGGATAGAGTGATGGACTAGAATCCTGGAGAGCAGGGTTCAAATTCCCGCTTGCCCATGAAAACTCACTGGGGGAGTGGAACTGGTAAAACAATTGACTTCTCTTGAAAGTCCTATTAGGTCACTATAAGTGAGTTTCAACTTGATGGCACAGAAAACACACACACAGAAGTGAGTTTCAATTTGATGGCACAGAACACACACACACACACACAAAAGACATAAAATTCGCTGAAGTGGCTTATCATCAACCTCCCTTTCTTTTGGTGCTTTAGGATCTTAGTGTCCATAAAGCCACACAGGCAGGCTTGTGTCAAGTGGGGATTTGAAGTCCTGACAATACACCACTAATTTTTCAAGAGAGCCACAGGGATATAGCTTGTCTAAGGTTGAAAATTTACAATATCCCAAGTCCATATGGAAATATTTCATAAGGCTAAAATGGAGGCAGCGTGAAATTCAGCCAGGACCCTAAGAGAGGGCGCTTTTATCTTGAAACAACAATTGCTTTCTAGGGTCCAAGTCCCTCATCTCTAGCAACAAAGGAAGCTTTCTGGGATGCTGTCTTGACAAGCACGACAAGACCTCCCCAAACGGACTTCCTTTTCAGCCCAGTAAGACAAGAGATTGGTCTCTTTGTTTTGCAGGGCTTCTCTGTACAGTGGTACCTCGACTTAAGAACTTAATCCGTATTGGGACTGCGTTCTTAAGTCGCACCACATTTCCCATAGGAATGCATTGAAAACCATTTAATCCGAATCTGCTGTTTTTCGTTCTTAAGTCGAGATGCTGTTCTTAAGTCGAAGCATTAGTTCCCATAGGAACTAATGCAAAGCTGGTTAATCCGTATCTACCACTAAGGGGGAATTTTTTTAATTTTTATTCTTTTGACCTAAGGTGAACATAAAATTTTTAAATTTTTATTTTTTTGACCTAAGGTGATCATAGGTCAAAAAAAGGGCAGGAAAGGTTTTTTTCTTTTGGTTTTTAAGTCGATGCTCCATTCTTAAGTCGAAGCAACTTATTGTGAATGGAGCCGTTCTTAACTTGAATTGTTCTTATGTAGGGACGTTCTCAAGTCGAGATGCCACTGTATATGCTTCTACCTTTGCCTCTGCCATGGTGTTACTCTGAAGTGGTGTCTTGGAAGGGCAGACCCCTGCCATGCTAGGCTTCCCAGAAGTCCACTTTAAGTAAGAGAGAATGGCAGACTCTGCTTGCAGTACAAGGTATGCCGTGATTCAGCCTGTTGCCCCCTCCTTCCGCCTCTTTCATTCTTCCAACGTCTACTCCAATGATTCAGCCTGTTGCCCCCTCCTTCTGCCTCTTTCATTCTTCCAACGTCTACTCCAAGATTGTGCACACTCACTCAACTGTGCTGCTGTGCCCCATGCTGTTGGCACTATTCGAACTCACCACAGGCTATCTGCTGCACCATTGCGGCTCAGGGTATTTGCCCACTCCCCATGCAACCTATCCTCTGCTTCCCCAATCCTGCCACCATTCCCACTGTTCAAAGTTCAGTCAGTATGCCCATCACAGTCATTTCTTAATACTGTACCTAGGCACTGCTGGCAGTTGGTCTGTACTCTTTTTGTTTGTCACAATTAACGTGTCAGAGGACATAGGGCAATCCTTTAAACCGTACCTAGGCACTGCTGGCAGTTGGTCTGCACTCTTTTTGTTTGGCACAATTAATGTGTCAGAGGACATAGGGCAATCCTTTAAAAATGTTTTGCCTGTTGGTGTTTTTTAAAAGGAAAAAAAATGACTATATGGGATTCATATTGACTGTAACAGAGTTCAGGACACCCGGAAGTTCTAGATTTTTAAAGTTCTGAGTTCCAAATCCAAAGGGCTGTAATTTGAAATCCAATTTCTGGTGCTACTGCACACCTCCGCTTAATATTGTTAGAACGTAATACATGTATCAGTTCAGGAGGGTCTGAGCTCTTGGACACTTGAGTCAGAAATGTTGGATGAAGAAGACATTTGGCCAAAAATCTAGAAAAAGCCCCTTTGCTGTCATAGTGACACACTGTTTTCTTACCAGTTTGTGTACAGTTTGTCTTGTTCACTTAGGTGTCTTTTAAGGGTCATAACCCATTTCCTCATATCTGAATTACAGAAACCAGCTTGTTTCGTTTCCTGTACAGTCTATTTGCCAAGCAAGGCTGTGACCTCCTTTCTTCATACGACAACCATTAAATGTTGATTGGTTTGGGATTCAATTTTTTCTCCCCATATCTAATTCATTGTTACAGATTAAGAAGTATTTAGATTTCTGACCTGTTTCCATTTGTATTTATCAGACCGTGTTAACCTATTTGATGAGGGTCTACACACACTTTGTACATATCTGTAGCTCAGTGGTTTAGAGGTTGGGAGTTTTTACACACACTTTATACATATCTATAGCTCAGTGGTTTAAAGGTTGGGATTTTGATTTCCCATTGTGCTCCTGTAGAGCCAGCCTGTGTGATCTTGGGCAAGCTGCACATCCCAGAGCACATCCAGAAGAAGGGAATGATAAACCATTTATGTGTATTCTTTACCTATAAAACCCTGAAAAGGGTCACCATAAGTCAGAATTGCTGTTATGATGGTGATGATATTCTAAAACCCTAGAAAGAGACTGCAATCTACAGTAGATCCCTATTTTCCTCTTGTTCAGTGGTTCCCAACATGCATTTTAAAAAACTCTTGGGATTCTTAGCCCCAAAGACAAGAGGCTTAAGCATTCTTACACACATCACTTACAATAACACTGTGCTGAGTGATCTTTGTTTAGCATGGATCCAGCTTCCAGTTCCTCGGTATTAATTGCTATATAACATTACTAATAGTTGTTTGTTTAAAAATGCCAACACTTTCCAGTCTTGATTGCTCAATTGATCAGCAGGTTTTTTAGCCTGAGGGAAGAGTGAGCCACAGGAATGGGTGGTGCTTATTTGTAAGGAGAACAGCAGAAATTCTTGTGGTTTACAGTACCTGAAATGTTGGCTGAGAAGTGTATAGAATGTTTTCTTGTCTCTGTTTTGAATGCCAAATTATGAGATCTGAAATTAGATCATTTTAGGGCTGGTTTGTATGCAATAATACACACCACTTGACTGTTGGTGTATACATGACTGTGACTTGCCAGAGAATTTGCTGATGTTGCAACAGTTGCTTTCAGTCTGCTCCCTCTCTGTGCTTAGATAAATGCTTTATCTACCTTTAAAGTGAACTTAGTTTTTAAAACAAGAAAACCATGTATTCATATTTCTCTACAAAAGCAAACTGGAAAGCCAGCACAGAAATATACCCCGTAATATTTTACAGATTAAACAAGGGGCGAAGTATTATATGCTTCTGCCACTATTTCTCATAGCAGCAATGTCCCATCCCTGCACATGGCTGCAGAGTTCTCTTTAGCTGCTCTAGATTTCCACAAGACTATGTCATGTATGCATGCTTCCTATCAACAAACTAACTGAAATCAGCCTTTCAGTTATTTTTTGATAACCTGTCCGGCTCTGGTTTCTGAAGCAAACCTGAGCAAAAGTTTCCTTTAAAATAAACAAGAGTGAGCTAGGTGTATTTAAACAGGCTATATTTAGTTATATCCTGTTTAGACAAGCAAGCTACATTTAGTCTCCTGTCATGTACCTATGTACTTAGAACTAAGCTCCCTTTTGTTAAACAGGGCTACTCCGTAATCAGGATGCATAAGGTGGGCAACCTTAAGCGTCTTAGCAATGTTTGCAGTAAGATTGTAATGATATATCTGACATTTTGTGTTTAAAGAACTAAGTGGCATTTGATTTTAACCTGGGTTAAAATGACCTTAAAGCAAAGTAGATACTATACTGGGATACCCAGTGTAGTGTAGAGAATAGAGTCATGGACTTAGGAGACCTGGGTTCAAATCCTTTCAGCCATGGTTGCTCATTGGGGTGAGGAACTTGTAAAACCACTCCTTAAATATCTCACTTACCTTGAAAGCTCTATTGTTGTTGTTGTTGTTGTTTAGTCGTGTCCGACTCTTTGTGACCCCATGGACCAGAGCACACCAGGCCTTCCTGTCTTCCACTGCATCCTGGAGTTGGGTCAAATTCATGTTGGTAGCTTCAATGACACTGTCCAACCATCTCGTCCTCTGTTGTCCCCTTCTCCTCTTGCCTTCACACTTTCCCAACATCAGGGTCTTTTCCAGGGAGTCTTCTCTTCTCATCAGATGGCCAAAGTACTGGAGCCTCAGCATCAGGATCTGTCCTTCCAGTGAGCACTCAGGGTTGATTTCCTTCAGAATTGTTAGGTTTGTTATCCTTGCAGTTCAGGGGACTCTCAAAAGTCTCCTCCAACACAATTCAAAAGCATCAATTCTTCGCCAGTCAGCTTTCTTTATGGTCCAGCTCTCACTTCCATGCATCACTACAGGAAAAACCATAACTTTGACTACGCAGACTTTTATTGGCAAGGTGATGTCTCTCCTTTTTAAGATGCTGTCGAGGTTTGTCATCACTTTCCTCCCAAGAAGCAGGTGTCTTTTAATTTTGTGGCTGCTGTCACCATCTGCAGTGATCATGGAGCCCAAGAAAGTAAACTCTGTCACTGCCTCCATATCTTCCTCTTCTATTTGCCAGGAGGTGATGGGAGTACAGTAGCGGCCATGATCTTAGTTTTTTGGATGTTGAGCTTCAGACCATTTTTGTGCTCTCCTCTTTCACCCTCATTAAGAGGTTTTTAAAGTCCTCCTCACTTTCTGCCATCAGAGTGGCATCATCTGCATATCTGAGGTTGTTGATATTTCTTCCAGCAATCTTAATTCCAGCTT